AGATGCATACTATAGTCAGCTTATAAAGCTCAGTGAGTTYATGGTTTGCGTGAATAAAATCATATCTTGACATATATATATGACATATATGCATGCTTTATAATAAAAGTCCCAGCTTTAAAAAATATATATATATATATATATTTAAAACACTGAAAATAAGAGATCTCATAATGTTTAGTCGGGTATGGGTCATTTAGTCACAAACACGCCCTGGGTTGATATTTCAATCTTAATTGATTACTCACTTGTCCGGGTAGTGTTTTATACTGGTCGTGACTTACTGGTCAAATGCCCACCCTTGAATCATAAAACTTTAATATGGAATAGCATGCTAGAKTTATTCGAAAACTGATTAAACACATAGCATGCAATCATTCACAAAATAACATACATGTAAATTATATCATAACATGTGTGTCATTGAGATATCATGCACACGTACACATCATCAACAATCCATATCATGCAAAAATAATTTGTACTTAGGTATGCATCCCAGTGAAATCTCATGAAGACTCATCTGATAACGAAGGTTGCTTAACTAATGTCGCTGACTGGTAACCTACAATTTATAATAGTAAATAGCATATAAATGATTAATTTCTCCCAAAAACTAACATAAAAGTCAACTTACGGTCAACTACGTCGACTAGGGTCGACCTTGGTCAACTATGCTTAAAAACGCTCCTCACATCAATTAAAATTATGGGTGAGTTCCGACATAAGATGTATCGTCTAGCTATATATCTTAAAATGACATCATAAACGTGATTATTAAGTATTGAAAGTGGCTCGATTCTTGACCTTTTTTCTTCATTCTTTTTGCACCAATCTCTTGATAATATTTTTACCAACACTTTGACATAAAGAACACGAATTTTCATCAAGTATTGAGCCTCATACACTCGTTTAAAGTTACTGTTTTAAAACCACTCGGAAAAAAAAACTCAAAATCGAACACTCAAAACTTAAATCTGAGACTTATGGCTACTAATATTTCATAGAGGACCTAAAAACGAAGCCATCCATATAAAGAACTCGAAATTTGGTTGAGTATTTTACCTCCAATCGTCAATAAACGGAGCTTTTCGAACCCGAACTTCACCCTCCGATTT